TCTGTTTGATTTGCATCTAAAAAGGAAACGGGGTAAATATGAGGTGGCAATTTAGGAACAGAAATATAGAATGGCTTTAAAACTACTGACCAGAGCAAAAACAAAAGCAGGTTTTCTCTAAGTCTTTTCCTTCATTACCATCATGACCAGCCATGCCCTAAACCTGTAAAAATAAGCAGCTGTTGGGTTAACTAACCCACAGAGATTTCACACCCCCAGCATGAACTAGTGGCTAAGGCTGACGGACAGCCATGATTAATTTGAGAGTGGGGGATGTTGCTCAACAGGCCGGTTGACAAGGCAACCTGGTCAGCTTGTTAGGAAATGGTTCCACCAAGGAGACAATAGACTACCTCTCTTTATTTTAAAGGAAAATGTTACAATGTGTTATCTAAATACATTAATAAAGCATTTTAGGTTGATTTGATCGCCTTTATGCACTATTTTTGCACGCCACGTATCACTTTACTTGGATTTATTCACTTTAATTGGACTTTTCACTTTATTTGGATTTAGTTTTTACATATACATAGGCATATGTACAGATATATATACAGAAGAGCTATATGTGTATATATATTTTATCTCTTTTTATTCTTATTTTTTATCTTTATTATATTGTATAGTTGGATGTGTGTATATATCATGTACTGTAAAACTGTAACTAGAGCGTGTAACAAAAGTAATTTCCCTCTGGGATTATTAAAGTATTTCTGATTCTGATTCTGATTGTGTAGCTGTTCTTAAAAGGAGGTAAAAGAGAAAAAAAAAAAATCAAACTTATGCTTTTCATCAACAGACTGCAACATTAAAATGGCATCATTAACATCTAACTGGATGCTAAAGGAAAAGATTATACACAATCCCCTCATCAACATATTGCTGCCTTGTCACTTACCTTTATGCAGAGTAAGTTGCTACAGAGCCAGACTCTATCGGAGCTGAAGATCTGCTGCTGCTGCAGGAAATCTGAGAAAAACTGGTCGTTATGGAAACACCTAAACAGATCCTGCTCCTGAACAGCAACTTTTAGCTATGTAAGGAGTTGCTAAAGGGAAAACAGAGATGGAAAAACAACTGATTTTACACATAACCGTCATTCTTTGTAACTGCAGCTCCTGTTTCTGCATTCATATATATCCCATTAAAACAATGTTTTAGTTGAACACAGCAGGTTGGACTGATTTGTATAAAAAACAGAGAAAAGCCTTTGTTTGTGTGCGATGTTCAGAATCAGAAACTGATCAGTGAGTAAAACTCTGGAAAGAAAATATCTCTGTGCAAATTAATCGTTTCCCAATTATTAGAGCCAGAGCCACCCCAAGACATAAGCAATCTAAGCAGTAACTAAGTGTGTCCAAATGCTGAAGGGAAATCCAAAAATGCGTTGAGACTGTTTTTAATTTTGTCTATTGAGAATTAAAAGAAATCTGATTTATCAAAGTTTATAGTTTCAGAGTAGATCAAATTAAATGCTTTGGATGCTTTGAAAACTCCAGGAAGAAATGAGAAGGTTTACTTTGTAAAAGTGCCAATAACTTCACAGATGTAATAATGTTTCATGACTGCATCTACAGCTCTACCTAGAGGCATTCAATCTAAAAAAATCTTTCTTCATCGGCAAAAAAACCAATTACCAGCTGTTTGCAAAAAAACAAATCAAATAAGAAATAAGAAAAACTATTACTGCTAGTTATATTATTCACATATTTCATGTTAAATACCCCTTCAGCCATTATAACCTGCTAACAGCAGGATAGATGCAAACATCTTGGAGTCTGGAAGTTGAAAAAAATTATCTCCAGTGTTCATCACTGTCACCATTCTGAAAAGAAGTGTGTCAGTCAAGCAGTTATGTTCATTTAAAAAAAAAAACATATGGTATGACCATACCAGAATGACAACAATGATGCCTGAGAAAAAAGAAATCTGAACAGATAACTAAAGCATTATGGAAGTAAATCTTGGAGTCTCACCACAGTGAAAAAATACTGTAAAAGGATATTGATATTAGAACCCTCTCTAAAGGGAAAAAGAAGATGAAAACAATATTTTCCCCTACCTAGACAATTTTATAGAGTTTGTTTTCCCATTTAGAGGCAGAAAACTGCTCAGTCTAATCATTAACTTTATGCTTTATGGACACTGCGTTCTTTCTGCAGGTAGAGAGGAACTGCTGAGCAGATCCTCATCTGTCATCGAGGTGTTGCTATTTTGAAATGTAATAAAAAATTGCTATGCTTAAAATAATTAAACATCATAAACTAAGCTTCTCAAACATCGTATCTTAAACTTCTTATGAATGAAATCCCTCATGCATCTTGTCTTTCTCTGTTGCTCAGTGGACATGGCCAGATCATCAGCTGCATAGTGTTGATTTGACTTGACAGGCAACAAGTCAATCATCACTTTTTCCTTTCATGCCTGCATCTACACACTGCTGATTTACTGACTCAATTATTTATTATTTTGCGCATACTCATATCAGATCCACAATTTGATTTTTAAACAAACATTGTTTCTTAAAAAAATAAATAAAATAACATAAATAAATAGTCAGGGGCTCATGTGGAACCATGCGATAATAGGTCGGCTCGTTCTGCTTTCCATGCGCTGGTGGTCATTTCTGAATGTCCTGAACAAAAGGGGGATTTCTGCAAGGGATCTGGCCACCTTCTCCATCTGCCTATATGTGCAGATTATCTTTCTGCTGTTTCTGTAGATTCATCATGTTTTCATTGTGTTTTTCCATGTAGCTACACTCAGATCAAGGTGTTGCATGGGACTCTTCAACTAGCTGTCTGAGTTCCTTTCTGCTTTCCCTGCGACTTTACCTTGTTCTCCAGCACTAAATGTCACCCTTTGTCCTTTGCTGTGGTTTATCTAGTTGTTAATTGAGTTTAACCAGTTTGAGGCGCTTCTAAAAGGCTTTTAAACTTGTTGGTAAGTGGCGTTGCCTTTCTTTGAAATGCTGTAGTTTGGCCTTCAGGGCGTGGATCATGTTGTCCTCTTTTCTTTTTTTTTAATACGTCTCCTCTGGCTCTTAAACTGGTTCAGGCTTTGGGTTTCACCTTTTGTTATTTGAACTGGCAAGCAGGCTTTCACACATTTCAAACACACAAATATATATATAGATGTATATAAAACCATGGAGAAAAGCATTTGTAACAAGTAAACCTTGAAGACTATCAAAAACACTTTTTATTGTGTTAAGATGTTTTTTGGCCAAATTACAGGTGCCTCAGGGTTAACTCATTTTTGCTGAATGAGTTTAGGTTAGAAATTAAAGTGACAGTGAATCCTTCAGGCTCTTTCATTCTTTTCTGTACAGAAATATCACACTTATTTTAGTATAACTGTTATTCATTTGACAGTGTTAATATTTTATCACAAAATATTCACACAAATTGAATAGAGGGTAGGTACAATTACCTCCAGCCAAGATTCCCACATTACTAGTAATAATTACAAAAAATACTAACTCGTTTTCTTAAAACTCTTGTCACCATAGGCTCGTAGTGCACAGGTCAGGGGAGTTCCCTTATTCAGTCAGTTGAAGGCAAAAAGTTCCTGTGTGTCTTTGTGTGCTGATTCCAGATCAGCATTTCCGCCGACAGTAAAGGAGTTATGATTTGGTGCCAAAGCAGCAGCAGCTGAAGCAGTCCTCTGTGTCTGCAGCTGCCTGCACAGGGAAGTGCGACAGGAACCGGCCCCGTCTGCCTCTGTAACCATCTTTACCCGCCTGTCAGCTGAATTCACCCGGAGCTGCTCACACAGCCTGATCCAGCTTCGGCTACAGGACTCCCTACGCTGATATGAGAGCCACTGGTGATGGAAGAGGTGGTGGGTAAGAAACACCAACATGTCGCAGGTTGAACTGTGCGGTAACTAATGAATGCATCAGTGATAAGGTCCAGACTTTTTCAGCTTGTACAATCACTAAGGGTTACACAGGGTGTTGTTGTGTGTGAGCACCAGAGAAAAAAGTTAAAGAACATGCAGAGTGGGGGGGAGATTCTAAACATCTATTCTGTATTTTGCATTAACTTTCAGTTCAGACATTCTCAACATCTGAGCTCAACTCCATGGTAAATGGTTATGACTGTTGGCACAAATGAAGACGGTTGCTTTTATGTCAATGAAAAAGACTGTTATGTTTTGTTATTCTAGCTCTATGTTTGATGTTAGGTTCAGAACAAGGGACTTGGGTGCACCCACAATCTAAATATGCCAAATGAAATCTATTCAGTAATCTCCAGGTTCATTCCTAACTTCTCAGCTCTACATCCACATGACACACTTTGTCATTTCATTCCATCAAACATGTAAAAAAACAAAACAATTTTTTTCTTCTCACATCATTTTACTTTCGTGTTATTAGGTATCATTACATATAATGTAGTTAAATAGCCATAAAACTCTAAAATCTCATATATAATTGTGTATATTTCTATATTTTCTAAAGAGTTTGAACTTTGGCTCCATGTGGGCCAGTAAAATGATAAATATACCAGATTAGGACCTCCTGATGCCCTGAGGTACCTCCTGCTGGAAGATATTATTTATTAAGATCACAACATTTTCTGACTAGGAGTTGATTATAGAAAATCATCTTAAATCATCATTGGAAATATTAAAAGGCCTACAAAATCTCCTGCAGCAGATAAACAAAACTACAAAAGTATAAACACATCAGAAATTATCCTTCACTCTCCAACGGTTTTGAGAAATACCGTTCCAGTCAACAACAGCAGAAAGTGCTTCCAAAAGTCTCATTGAAGGCTTCAGTAAATGTGAAATAAACGTAGATAGGGGAATTTTTTGCTGACGACATAAAGGTTCTCTGAACCACAACTGCAGGGCTGTGTTGAGAGAAACACCGACTTTCAGCAAATAAAAAAAAGCTTCCTAGAATCGGGCATGTTAAATAACTTCCTGGTAAAAATGAATGATCTGTTCACAATGTAGTAAGTTGATCAGGTTGCAAAGCATTTGCTTTGCAACCTGATCAACTTACTACTTTTATTTCTTATATTGATTTATTCTATATTTATCATATACAGCCTGATTTTCAGACTTTACTTTAAAATTCAGTTTTTCCTTTTATGATTTCATTGTAATTGCACTTTAGCACTTTGATCTGCTATATCTCATCATACAATCCCTCTTACCAACACTTTCACAACTTTCTTTGCAAATCCACCATAATGTAATCATGTGGATGTAAAAAGTCTATAGCTTTGTTTTAAGTGGGATTTTAAGTTTTAAGGACGATGTTTGTCATCCAGTGGAAATACTGATCTGAATTTAACACTGCTGTGTTTCAGCGTGGCTTTTAATTATTTCACCAGACTAATAAAAATCTGCAATCATATGAGCTTTAGCTCTGCTGTTGTTAATCTGTAGTAGAGGACATTCTGGAAAAGTGCATTGTGAGTTTTATTTGTGGAGCAGCAGAATTTCAGCACTGTGCAGGGAGGACTGCTGACAGAACTCCCTGTGATTTTTTTTTTTTTAATCCAAGTTAAAATAAAGAAACATATCTTTTGGAGGTAATGTGTAATCAGAGACTGTGTGAGACATTTCTCACACTCCTAAAGGTCCTTTTGGTGCTCGTAAGCCAGCTAGCTTTCACTGCTTGAGGCCAGAGGCTGGACAGCTCCCTGTCCAGTGAGGTCGGAGTCATCCAAGACGAGCTCCTGAGCTAAAAGATGTCAGGGCACATGCTCCAGTCCTCTTTCTCCTTCGACTCCCAGTAACCTCCCTTGTACACAAAGTTTGTCTCTCCAGTGACAGAGTCCCTCCTCTGGTGAAACCACAGCGGCTGGTAGCCTTCATAGTCTCTACCTGAGGAAGAAGCAAAGATTTTACATCATAACGTTTACCTAAACATCCTCCAGAAGAGAGGCGACACTTGAAAGCTATTACTAAGAAATACAGGGATGTTTTTTTCTATGGGTTGCCACTGGTGTCTGCACTACATTTGGTTTAGCTCCAAATGAGCAGTAACGAGTTTCAAAAATCTAAAAGGAACATCAAACAAAACAAGGAAGATAAGTGAAAAGCAAAGAATTAATAAAATCATATTCATCATTTGTTTTAAGCTATCAAACTGGTAAAAAGTGAAATTGTTAGATATGGGAGTTGTGTAGTGATTTTATGCTTATAACAAATCCAAGTCAAATGAACTGAGTTTTTTTTTTTTTTTCCAAATGTGCATCTAAAGATTTCACAAAATGAATTTTACAATTATGCCAGATTACTATAACAACTTCAATCTACTTTACTGAGATTTTCTTTTCTGTACTCCAACACAAAGCAGTGCATAACTGTGAATTGGGGTCTAAAGTCATCTTTTAGGGTTTTCTTGTAATTAATTTTCTTGCAATCTTTCCATCGACTAACTGGCTTTACCGTCCCTGCTAAACTTGTTACAGTGTTACAGCAGTATGCTGCTGTTTGGATTTATGGGGCAAATGATCAATTGATATTCTTCTCTTCCCACCTGAGCTGTGGACCTCTGCAGCTCTAACAGAGCTTCCATGGGCCTCTTCTCTACTTCCATCCAATTGAAGCTCCCTTTGCAGAGGTTAGGTTGACAGACACATGTCTACTCCCCCAATTTTTTTTTTATGGATTGAGCAGTGCCATGCACTATGTTCAAAGCTTCAGATATAGTTTTAGAACCAAAACATTGCTTTAAAGGAGAAGTCCGGTCATATTCAGAATTGAAACTTCTGAAAGTACATTAAATATGAAATTATTACATATTATTCAATAAATGATGTGTTTTATTTAAGAGAAATTTTCATGTGAATGTTCTTTACTGGAGACGTCCATGTTTGTCAAAGAGCACTATGGCCACCTACTGGTTTGTGAGGTCACGTGCGGTATCGGCTGTTCATCAAGTCCCAGTGCTGTATCTGGTGTTAGTCACAACGCGCTATTATCCAAGTCATATTGAAAACATTCTTCTTTGAAATGTTGGCTACATATTACGTGTTTTTTCTCTGGCCAGAAGTTTGATGGCAAATCCTCCCTCTTCAAGTTGGTAAACCAACGACACACCAATCTGTGGTGGATCATGAATCGAAAAGGTGAAATAACACTTTTTTTTGTATTTTACCCGATGTATTACAACATCCAAATGCCATGCATGTGGGCATTGTCAGTTTAACTATAGCTCTTGCAAAATTAAATGGTGAGGTCCTCTAGAAATCTTAAATAATTGTTGTTGATTACAGATGTGTCTCATAGTTCCCATTGATTTTGCTTGCAAAGCAGGGAGAGTGGCGCTCGGCTTACTGCAACATGATGTGACACCGAAGGATGTCAGGAGTGAGGTGTTACTAAATTGGGGCAAAGATGGCCCCAATTTTTTTTTACTGATTAACATTACATTCATTAAATCACCGCAAAGGTATTAGTTTTAGGCATAGATAATGATCCAATGATCATTCCTTGCCGACCGGACTTTTCCTTTAAATCCTGCCCCACCTTTTTCGCTGAGTTGTCTGGTTTGCCGTTTTATAGTTTGATTTAGGGATTTAGGGGAGTAAAGGGACTCAATAGATTTGCAGGGCACTATTCTATAGAGAATTATCTTAAAACTTTGAAAAAATATTATTTCCTTTTCCTTTCCCAGCACAATTATGGGCTACTTTGCATTAGAAAATCCCATTAAAAATAAACTGGAAAAAATGTGAAAAGTGGTATAAATGCTTTTGTAAAGCTCTGTACTTATATTTGATTCAGCATTTATCTTAGGCCAGTCCTTAATGGAAATGCACATGTATGCAGGGAAATGTCATGTGTTTTCCTAAGTTGTTATTCCAAGAAGTTGACATAGGGTGAGTATCATGCAGATCCAGAGGCAGAGCAAACAGGGCACACAAAAAATGGAGAAAGTGTGTGGAATGTACAAAGGAGGGGCACAGAACATCCCCACTCACCAGAATCATAATCACACTCTGAACATCAACAGAGGGAGGAAAAGAAAGACAAGGCATGGATACATTGAATAAAATCCTGCATTTGTCCAACATAGAGACATGATGAATCCAGCTCTGGGCTAAAATTTTTCAGAATATTTAATTATCTTTATCTCTGAATTCATACATTTCAAAATAAATTGTATGTCCCAACAGCTAAGACTAGATAAAGTAATCGCTTCCTTTCAAAGTGCAGACTCTTTTTTACTGTGTATGACATGCCTTCATCCAGAGCATCTGTGGCCTCTGCTTCCCTCCGTCTTCTTGCAGCTCTTTGTTTCTCTTCTAGTCTCTGTTTCTCCGAGTTTGCCTCATCCCACCGGCCTTCCTCCATCAGCCTCTGGTCTGGTCTCAGCCGACTGTCGGTCAGCGCCACCCCGTCTTCAGGCTCGTTCAGGGTCAGAGCCAGAGCTGAGAAGTGGTACATGTTCTCAGCATTTTCCCTGACAAAGTGAGGGGAAATGTTTTGATGTTATACAGTCAATAATATTGATTGAACACAGGGGCCATTTTTTCACAGCAGCAATTACTCAATAATAGTAGCTGTCTGATATATGGAGCAGAGGCTTACGGTAGAGGGTATTTCTTCCAGAGGAGTTTGGGAGATAAAGTCTGATAGACTGTCTTCTGCTTTCCTTCTGATCCGCTTCCTCCTCGACTGCTCTGAACGATCTTAGCGCTCTCCATTTTGTCATCCCATGTACCAGAGAGGATGTAATGAGCCTGGCCTCCGCTGTCTGCTACCACACCTGTTACCTGCCGGGGGGAATCATCTTAATCATATGTCTAGAACTTCAAGGTAAAGTCCTAATATTTCAGGAGACTGTAACAAATATTTAGAAAAATTAAGCTCATATTGCCATATAATCACTATTAAAATTTTAAAGAACTCAATACAGCAAGGTGTAAATGGTTAATAAATGATTAAACCCAGATTACTGTATGTTTACAGTTGTATGTTTGTGTCTTATTTCCACAAAATGTAAATTTGTGCCCATTGTTCACACAATTTTCACACAAATATCTCAAGTCGTTAGACTAAACAAATATAATATTTCTACACATATCTAAGATCTAAACTATTCTGTTATGGTGAAGTAGTTAGCAAACTTTTAGTCATTTTTTTGTATGTTTAGCCTGTAGTTAGCCCCATCCTTCTTCCCATAAAGTCTGAGAAAGGAAGTCCAACAGCATGATGTCAAGTGGCTTTTTTTTATTTTGCAACTCTTCCATAAATGCAAAATATGTGGTCATTAAGACTAACGACTGTCCTCTTAGCAGATTTTTCCAACTGAGCTGTGGATGCAGCAGATCCATCAGAGTTACCACAGTCCTAACTACCCAGTGCTCTCCTGCCTGGCCTGTCAGTTTACAGCAATGTGCTGTAATGTCAGTTTGCAGATGTTTTATGACCAAATCTCTGATCTATCTGATAAAGAACGTTTGAGGCATTCACAAATTAGTTTCTTTATAATTTTGCTTTTTATATTCGTGTTGATCCATTCCATAAAATACAAATTAAATAGATTTGTGGTTGGTATTTCAAAAAAATGTGAAAAGGTTTTATAAGACATTTACTGACAAATTCCAGCAGGAGGCAGCATTGTACAAATTAACCCCCAAGTGATTTACCTTCCGTGGAACATCCCTGGAGAAATAACTGTAAGGAGAGAACTTCAGCTGGCAGGTCTCCTTCGTCCTGTTATTAATGACCTCGATGTCTCCTGACTGAGAAAAACATACAGAACATTATAAGGGAGGGAAACAAGCTACATGACAACACAAAACTATTTATTTTTCCTTTCATGTTAATCACCAGCTTATAGATGAGCTGGATCATGATGCACCTATGTGTGCTGAGTTAAACTCCTCAAAAACTCCTCAAATCCTTTTTTTAATAATTAGCTTAATGCTAAACGCACACACTCTCCTAATGTGCTTTTAATCAACATTCAGTTGATTATAAGTGATCAGCAATGCTGGCTATGCAGGATGTGTTGCTTGTGAAGCTGCTGCCACTTTGCTTCTCATCTAGGCTTGTTTTTTGGCTTCTGTGAAAATATGTCCTACATGGATCTAAATGTGAAAAAAAAAAAAAATCTAATTACATGAAACATCAAGCCCTGTTGCATCTATCAGGAATGTGTATATATTGGCCCTTGGTTTATAATGCGTGTGTATTTAGACGAAGGTTGTTACAATGTTGTACTTTATAAGCATAAGGAATGTAAATATTACTATGATCTCACTCTCATCATTATGATCATTATTATTATTTTGTTGACAATCTGAAAATTAAAGTCTCTACACACAGTCTAAAAGTGCCCTAAGGCGTTCATATTTATCAGCTTTTAAACACAAAGGTCAGACTGATGTAAGTTGGGGTCTCTAAGCATTTGGCATGCTGAAGGGAGTGAATCTTTATGAATACAGACAGGGCATCTGCATAGTGTAGCAAGAGAATAAAAAGAATTTTAGTTGTTAACTGCAGAGTAGATGGAAAAATTTTCAGCTAAACGTTGTAAGTGAAATAACTGGAAATATGAAAGTTTTAGAGATAAAGGAACAAGAGCTGGGGCATTACGTCACTTCAGTAATTTACTCTTTATAATTCATTAAAAGGCAAGGTAGAGACACAAGAGTGTGATGGTTCATTTCTGACAACTTTGCAGGCATTAGATTCAGATTACTAATGCCTAATCTGTTTTCACGCCATCCTCCTACAAATATGTTTTTGTCAATAGGCTGATCAAATCTGATGACAGTAAATCGAAAAAAGTATTAATAGAAAAACTGCAACTTCAAAGAAATCGTGTTCAAGTCGTTCAAGGACCCAGTGGCCTAATGGATAAGGCACTTCCCTCCTAAGTAGGTTGCTCTTCCTGCATCTACATTTGCTGAAGCTATGATCACACTCATATATTCAGCCACTCTTGACCGTTTGAACACTGCTGCACTTGAATGTACACAGTGTATACAAAATGATAATAAAAGTTCTCAAAGTCTAAGATTTTGGGCATTCATGGAAAAAAATCTAAATATATTAGTTGAATTGTTGTTTTAAAAACTACAAACCTTTGTGCTCAATTCTGTTTGGGATTCTGCACTATTGTGATAATTTGTTTTTGGTATTTGGGAAACTTTAATTAGTACTATTCAAAAAGACATACGTAATAAATTATGATGTTAAAATTTTTTTTTTTTTTTTTTTACATGTCAGTGTGTTTCTAGGTACATAAATCCCAACCAGTGGAAGATTGCCAAATCAATTCTGAATACATTAATATGGATTCATGAGCCTATAAAAAAACACTTTCTATTTTAGAGTTAGTTACGGTTTTATCTCTGGCGTCTATAAGTTGCTCAAACACCAAAACAAAACAATAAGAGTAGACAAAACTAATGAAGTAGAGAAAAACCTTAGTAAAAAAGAAAGATTAAAGACCAAATACATTTCATACTTTTACTTATATCTGAATTTTATCTTTAAGACAAGAATACAAAAAATAAAGTTAGTAAATTCTAACACTTTTCTATAGTCACTTTTCTTCATTTATCCCACAAATAATAAAATTCTAAATTTTTCAAATGTTACAATAAACCCTGTTTTATTATCTGTAGAACCCTGGGTCAGCTCATTGTGCAATCTTCAGCCAGACTGTATTACTGTGTAGGCTTACAGAACTGCTCAACTGCATCCTAGAGTATGGTTTAGCATGTATACATCAGTATGGATTCCCATTCTGCTTTGGACCAATTAAACTCTGCCCTATAAAAGCTTGCTGAACTTAAATTGGCATACTGTCTGAACTTCCTGTCTCCTCCAGGACCATTTTTACAAAGTCTGTCAAAAACCTTTTTTAGAAAGTTTTGCAGGGGTTGGCAAAGTATTGATAGTGCCAAAACTACTTTTCACATTTTTGGGTTGATAAGAATGAGAAAGAGAAATGATTTCAGCTTTCATTTCAGAGTAAATAATTGTACTTTTAAATATAGTATTTCACAAATAAAAAAGTCTGTAACTGGTGCACAATAATTCATTGCAGCAATAAATCTGTATACTGGGGATTTCAACCTTGACTAAAACAGAAAATGAAAAAAAAAAAAAAAAAAAAAACTGTGTTTAGAAACAGAATAAAACTTTTCTAATTCTTAAACCACATTCAGAAATTAAGAAATTTTGTGCAATAAATTCAGTTCAAGTCTGATGCATCATCCCAACTTAAATAATCACTATAAATGAACAGATAATTCTTTATAACATAGTGAAACAGCCCATTCGTCTGGCTCAAAAAAGAGACCTGGTATTTTTACCCAATGGACAGACATGAAGTTCGTAATTTGTAATTCATTTAAAACTATTTTGGGGTGCAACTTAATGGAAAAATTTATAAAGAAAAACATTTTTTTCTCCAAACATATATTGAGGGATGTAATCTGTTTGTGTTGTTTAAAGCTGACTTCTCTGTTGTTGCATGGAGATTTCTAGCGCAGTGTGAAAAACTACATCCTAAAATTTGCATCTCTAATTCATATACCTTCATTATAGAAGAGAATCAGTATGCAAAAGTGTGTTGGGTCGATAGGTGCATGATTCTAGGATAAAACAAAGAAATCTGTATAACCAGCACTTTGCGGTTCTGTATGAATGTAGTAGAGACCTCTGTCGTTAAAACATGTTCCCACCTCAGATGGAGTAATGGAGGAAGAGTGACTGGTAAAAGGTTCATTTACTGTTGATCTGCAATCATATATTCATATTGTGACTGTAGAAAACTAGTAGAAATAGTGTGAATAAAGCAGCATAATAAACATATTGCTCAGAGCAGAAACAACACTTCCATGCATTATAACTTCAGATTATATAAGCTTCTGCCACTTAAGAGCATCAAAGATGCTTCCTTAGAAAAGTTTTCTGGAGTTTAGAGAGACAAGAGGCCATAGGTTGGAAAAAAGTGACTTCATGGGAAAACTGTGGAAGGAATTAATGAGAAGTCTGATATGGCCCCACAGCCCAGATCAGCTTCAAACGGATGGATTAACTAACTGATACTCCTTATCAATGCCATATCAGTGTCCCATTTTTGTTTATTTGACAGCAGTTTGTACTTTGTATTTTATTACTGCCTATCTGGCAAGCCAAAGACACGTTTTTAAGCAGCAGAGGGCAGCAGAGTCATAAGAGTAGGAACACAAAAGCACATATTTCTAAGATATTCAGGTCTTTATAATAACTCTGTCAGCCGGATAGATGTTAAAAAATAAAATTAAAAAAGGAAATCAGGGAAAGCAAAATAATTTGACCAAAGTTATATCTGAAGCATGTATTGTCAATGTGTTAATAAAGATCTACTCCGTGTTAGAGTTTGCTACGGTGCTGATCTGTGCTGCAAACATTTATCCCCCCCAAAAAAGAAAAATAATCCTGCAGGTTTGGTTTGAAGGTCACAGCAGAATGCAGAGAAAGAATAGTTGAAAAGAAAAGCGCTCAATAACAGACCTGGTCAATCCACAGTTTGCCCACAATGATGTTATGCACCGTGGATGTGACCTTTCGCCACACATAGTGGTTCCCACTGGAGTGAAACTGCAGGTGAATGGCACCTGGGGAACAAAGAAAGAACACAATGATATTACAGGAGGGTATGATTTCACCAGCTTTGTTGTGCTTCCTGCTGGCATTAAAAATGAAAGAGAGATTATAGGGTTTGATTTGTGATTCAAAACTCTTTTCTATACAATTTACGGTTTGTTAGAATCACTTCTACCTAAATCTAATGACACATCATCCCAGAATATTTGTGACTTCCATTTCACCAGTAATGATCGCCATTATTTTCCTTTTTATGTGGTATCAAACAGCCGAGTAAGCGATGCCAGAGATACGCATAACTTGCTGGATCAAATCCACTTAATCTTGTTTTATCCATCTAATCCTGCTTTAAATTATAGTGCAATATAGAATTCATTATATTTGTTTTACTTTGAAACCACAGAGTTTAAAACTAAAACCATCCAGATTTAAAAGAGCAATGTCGCTTTGCTGTTTTTTGTTGTTATATTTGTTATATGTGCAAGAAAATGCCCCATTTAATGCAAACAGGTGAGTCAGTGGTTTACATGTAATCAATAAATCTTTTGATAATTGAAATCAGATATTTAGGCTAATGCTTGTATGTCCTGGCTACTGCTACTAAACAACTAAAATATTTGGATTTGTTTTTTCAGAGTATTTTCAGAAAACTTTTTTTTATGGGGGTTTTACAATTTAAAGCCTAATAAATTAAAGCACTACTAAGTAACATTTTTATATTTATATCTCTTCCCTGCTTTAGGTGATCTTAGTCTCTATGAGACAAATGAGTGGGCTGCCATCTCCTACTGGCTTTGAATAGAAAACCAAGCTTGTAAGTTTCTGTACCACTGACCCAGTGGCAGTCTTGGGTCTATATTTGCAGTAAGACAAACAGCTTTATAGCGTCCCGATGAAAGTCCATTGGCATCAATAGCTATGCTACACTACCCCGGGGTGATTATAGGACTGTTTTTATTTTTATTTTGGAGGGTTATGATATGGCAGAGCCTACAAAAAAAAAGGTACAGAGAGACACGGAAAGAAAGATAAAAATGAGAATAGGATCGGGACAGGGCCTGCAGAAGAGCGATTTTACACTGTGATGAGACTTTAAACAAAAACAAATGTTCAAAACTGATGCAACCCTCTTCTTGGACTTGTAAGCACCGTATCTGCTTTGTGACTTAAATGTGAACATTGAATCAACTTATGAGTACAAATAAAAAGACGGTTTACTCATTAACTAAACTTGACTTAAATAAAAATAACAGTTTCCCGCAAAAAGGTCCAAAAAGTTCTGTAGAGGGAGGGACTCCAAAATTGCCTAATGCTGCTATAAATTTTTGAAGTTATTTAAGAGGTTCTTTTAAAAAAAAAAAAAGAAAAAAAAAAGAAAAAAAAGAAAAAAAAAAGAAAAGATGGTTCCATGTCCCAAAAAGATTATTGGTTCTAACATTTTCCTTTAAATGTGCCTTTCAATTTTTTTAACCATAATTAAATGACCCATGGCTGAATTGTCAGAGAAATAGCTTTGCATTAGACCTTTGAGAACAACGATACATAACAGAGTTCCTGAGTCAATAAGTGACGAAAAGGTACCAAAATTCTGAGGCTGCATTAAGTGACAAAATGATCACCTCTCCATCAATGTGCTTTCCAATTTGTAATAGCTCTTTCTGTCAGTATGCTGTTTAGTTTTCACCAAACATAGAGCTGTCTATTATGGCAAAGCATAAGGTATGCAGATTATATCCCACAAATAATGTCATCACAATATCAGTGTAAGCAATGAATGTCTGAAATGTACAATTATTATTAGCATTAGCTCACATATTTAAGGTTCCTTTAGATCAAACTCTGGTTTGCAATGAGATATTCTGCATGTTGGATGAGTCTCTCTGCAGTAGAACTCCACACCTGAAGACTGTGCACTACATACTAAAGATCACAGAGAGTGCTTGAAGCACAGATGAGAAAGAACGGATGGGGGTAAATATGTACTAATGAGATCTGACACTATCATTGTAAATTTATAAACAGTATCTCAATGGTAGGATTTTTTTGTTTTTAAAATGTAGGCCTCCCACCCAGTTCCATCTTGGTCTCATCTGTTTATTTTTTGTTCAGTCTATTTTTAATGGCTGCAAATCTAAGTCACGCATCCATGTTCTAATTTTTAAGATATAAAAAAGAAAATATTAGATATTTGCTGCAAAAAAAAAAAAGTCCTACTTATTGACCCGCCAGCACACAATGTCAGTCTACTGTTATTTCTCTAGGAATGTTCAATAAAAGGAAGGATTCTGGTGTTTCAGTTTTCTCTGTCTGCAAATCACATGCGTGTCAACTGAGGTGAAGGAAAGGCTTTAAAATCATAAAGCCGGATTCATGAGTTTAGTAGAGTGAACCAGGAAGGAGCTGCTAAATGAACATATTAAACTACAGCATGTTAAAATGGCCTTAAACAGACTAACCCAGGAAAAATTAGGATCATGTTGCATTTTCATAAACTCCAAGTACAATTCGATTTTTTTCTTGAACAGAGCATTGAGTTTTAATGTTTTCAATTTAAACAATAATACGCCTCTTCAGGCAGAGGGATGTCCTACCCAGAGGCATAATGGAGAGGTATTTGCCGCGGAACTTGCTGGCGATGGTGATTTCCTGCCACAAGGTCCAGCCTCTTTGGGAAATCACATGATGTGCAGCTGCAGGCGGGTGGTGGCTCACCTGAGCAGAAACAAAGACACAAAATCACAAGGAGAGGAGGCAATTAATAAAAAGGATCTGACAGCAGTTTATGGTTTAAATGTGCATAAGCACTTTGGGAAATGTGTAAACACAGTCTGCCCTTGGAAACACTAGTACCTGCTCACACAATGAGCGGTAGCCAAATTCCTCCAGGCGGTCAAGCTCATAGGTCTCTCCCAGGAGGGGGTTGAAGGGCTTGGCTGTTCGGTGGACTGTGGTGGAGTAGGAGGAAACAGAAAAGGCAGCAACTAGGCACATCTGCTCCAGGGAAGACTCACAGCGTGCTGCCTTGTCTAGAAGCTCATGATACTCCAGGTCCTCAGTGAGACGTTGCAGCATCGACAGAGGCTCATTAAAGTTTACCTGATGGAAAATTAGAATTAGTAAAATGTATCACATTTTACATGCGTTACATTTATTTTAGCCCCGTGTTAAAAATGAAAAATAAAACGCATTACAAAAGTATAACACTGCTAAACCTTTTCACATTTTGTATTTTTATAAAAAAAAAAAATTTTGTATTTTTATAAAAAAAAAATGTATATGATAGAATCAATATAAAGCAAAGTATCATCTTGAAGTGAAAAGGCAAAAAGGCCGGTATTGTAATATTTAACAATAAAAATCTGAAGCAAGGCTTTCATTTTGATTTAGCTCGTCTCAGTATAACTCAATATTTTGCAGGATCATCTTACTGCAGCTACAGCTAACACGTGATAACCAGATTAACAGATCTAGAGACTGAAATGTTTGCCATTTCTATATAGTATAGGGAAGGCAAAAATAAGCCTTGGGGCTATTCTTTTTTTCGTTGTTTGGATAAATACTTTTTTAAAATGTGACAATAATTTTGTTTCTAAACCAAAAATAAAAAAGGAATTCATTCATTCATTCGTTCATTCATTCATTCATTCATTCATTCATTCGTTTAGTTCTTCTTTTCAAAGCAATTTAAGCTCAGTCAGACTGGATTAGGGATGGGTATTATTAAAAACTTAACTAGTCTTAACGATACTCCTTATTGATCCACTATTTCATTTAACACTTTTTTATTTATGAAAATGAGTAAAACAATAATGAGCACTGAAACAACACAAAACATGAAACATATTTTTGAAGGTTTTCAAACAAAAAGATTTCAAACAAAATCCCACAAAATGCTGAAAGTACAAAATCCAAAAATATTTTAAGTAAAGCTAAATTACTTGTTTATATATACAATATCTTGTAAGTTGTATGGTCATATTTACAGATTATTGTAAGTTGTATGGTCATATTTACAGATTATTTGCATATTTGATCTTATTTATATCCAGGTAGTTGGAAAGAGAAAGAAATCAACACCGTCCAGATAGAAAGAAATTTAATAATACAATGTTATATTATCAAATTTAATGAAAGGGTAGTGGAGGCACACCAAAAGATGAGGTGAATAAATGTGTGTAAATAAATTTAAGTAAGGGATCCATTTAGTATAACAGTTTAAGGGAAAAGGAAGGAAACAAAAATATTTAACCAAAAGTTATATTTACAGCCCTTGTTGTAATCTAGGGTGGAGTCATTAGACACTTTACTGATGTGTGACTCATTTTCAGGGTTTCTTCGCTGCTGACTGCAGGCAGTTTGCTGCACAACCAGGCTGCTGAACCTGGCCATCTCTCAGTGCTTGGGAAGCAGAGGGCCTCACAGCAACTTGCTGCTCACTGAAGACAAACTTGTTCACTATTTCTTGCCAAAGTCTCAAAAACACAGAAAAAGGTCACTAAATTTGTCTACATTTTTTTTTCTTTTTCTTTACATTTGCACTCTATTCTATTTCATTCTATTACCCTTAATTCCAATAAAATCCATTAAAGTTTGTGGTTCTATGTTGAAAATATAATAGAAAATACGGAGGAGTGAAAATGTGTGCCAGGTTTCAGACTTACAGGCATAGGGATTTTAGAGAGCTCCTTGCCGATGCAGTTCTTCATGATGCTCCATAAATTTAGGGAATAATTGGGCTTGTCTGGGATATGAGTCCGCCTCTGTCTGCGCGGCAGTAGCTCCTTCCCTGACACATCGTTATAGCTCGGAGACATCTGGGATATAGTTCACAAAGAAAAGAGGATCCACAAATTTGAGCAAAAGTTTCATCAGGCTTTCAAAACATCAGTAAACTGTGACACATAATGACAACATATAAAACACAAGGAAAAACAAATCTCTGACCTATTAAAATTTAATGCAATGATCCAACCATACATCTGTGGCACCATTGGGGTGATGACATGGTGGCAGGAAAAACTGTAATAACAGTTCATGTGTGTACGTGTTGTGTGCGTGGGTTTTTGTGTGTGTGAAAGACTGTACTATATCTGTGAGACCAGCCAATATAAATGTTACACAAGTAAATCAATGAAGTGTCAGCCCGGCAGAGCCACACATGGATCTATACTGAGAATACAAGAGTCAGCAGCATTTTCAAATGTCAGACTTATTACTCATTCTTGTTAGGAAGATGGAAACTTACATGGTCGTCCTGGTTCCAGTCACTGGTCTGGCCTCCGCTCGCTCCACTTAAATTACCCTGAGATCGCCTGGAATAAAATAAGAACATTTTCTGCTTGAGTAAACAAGCAAGTAAATAAAATCCCAGAAAAATTCCTGTACACAGTGCACAGAGAATTAAATTAAATGAGTGAATAGGAACTGAGTTCTCTATCAGCTATATTCACTTTTAATAGTGAACCTGGACAACAGAAAACTACATTTGTGCCATAACAGTTAGAATGAGATGTTCTATTGGTATGTTCTGGGCTCTTTGACAAAGGTTTTTACTTTGACAAAAAGCAATTAGCCACCTTGTAACCCACTGGGCATAAAACTGTATATCCTAGGTAGGCAATTTAAGCAATCAATGGTGGAAAAAATAAAAAAAATAAAATTTATTTTATCCTCATGAGCTTGAGAACCAGGACATCATGCACAGTAGGATATTGCATATAGAAAATTCAAAATACTGGATTTTCCTAATTTATGATCAGAGGGTTCCCAACTTTCTACAAAGCAGATCTGATCACTCTTACAAATGGCAGGATGATCTCCCAGATTATCGGGACATGAGCAAAAAAAAAAAAATGATAACCTCAAATTGGTTTAGCAGTTTAAAAAATCCAACTTCTAGATTTGGCACATTGAAGTCATAGTTTAAGACAACAAATTTTTATTTTATACAATATTTGTATTTACATAAAGACTTTATAGTTAAAAAAAGAGTCAAATATATGGTTTTAAGCATATAAGTAACGTTTTCTTTATGAGGTTCTACAATTAGTTGTTGAATAGCGATGAAGCTAAAATAAAAAATGTATATAAATCTCAAAACCCTGATTTTTTACAAAAAAAAACTAAGCCAGATTTAATTTTCTAGGTTCTACACATGAATAATTTTTTACTTGAATTTTAAAATGAGCTACTAGGGTTGTGAAAAGTATCGATACTCAAAAATGTATCGATACTGAAACGTTGTATCCGGATACAATACTCATTTTTAAAAGTATCGATACATTGCTACCACCAGTGGCACCTAAGCAGTCATTCATCTAAAGTGAAGAATAGAGGAAAATGCACATTCAGAACACTGTGTGATTGAATAATTCTACGCACTTTTCAGTTTCAGACTTTTTTTGTTTGAGGTGCAGCTGCTGAGAATTATTTTTGTTTTTTTAACTGGTTTGGCTAGTGTCATTGTAATGTGTGCAAAGCATAGCCAAGGAAGGAACACTTAATTTTAATTCTATAAGTTTTTTTTATCAAGCTTGCTTAATATTGTGCACAGCATACAACCTCAAAATATTGTTCTTATTGTTTATTGTATTTATTTATTGTATTTTATTTATTAATGAAAATATTTCTGTAGAATTTTGGAGTCTTTGTTTTTATCCTTGTGGTATCGAAAATGGTATCGAGTATCGAATATTTTCCTTAGTATTGGTATCGAGTGGAAAAGTTTAGTATCGTGACAACCCTATGAGCTACTGAGGCTTACCTGTGCTGCGTGCTTTCACTGGCAGTCACTGTTATAAAAGTAGGTGCATCCTCCATGGCATCAAAGTACTCAGTATCCTCATCTTCATCACTTGCGTCCTCTTTGTTCACCCTTTGGTTTCCTGCAGTCAAGTTATATCATTCAGACTTGCAGACATCAGGTAAAGCCAGTTAAATTCAGCCTTAAAGGTGAAATTCAAGAAAGATCAGTGTTTTTATAAGCTTCATAACATTAGCCATAGTGACATCATTTCTGAAACTATGCTTAACATGTTCAGCATCAAACCCAAAGTCTGTCCAAATGCATTTGTGAAGAGATAGACCGATATTTGTGTTTATCTTTTATCTGTGTCAGCCGATACCTGCATGAATTTGCAGATTCATCTGTGCATTCAGCAGCAATCTTTTTAAATTGTGTAAGGTGCATGTATTGCAACTACCTCCATTTGCTACTTATTGTTAATATGTTGTGTATGATTTGTTGATATTTTTTCTTTTTGTTGCATTTGTAACATTTGTTATCATTGAGTGATTTTTATTATTTAAATGGAGAAAAAAAGCAATATCGGCACCAAAACAATAGCCCCAAATTTATTAAGGATCAGTTAGACTGATGGCAAAATATATTTACAAAATATTCTAAATATATATCGGCATCAGCCTTAAAAAAACCCTGAATCAGTCGATCTCTAATTTTATGAATCATATGGCACTAGATACCCTTCATTTACACATTTTACTATATTTTCATGCCCATATTTTTCTTTCAAAGGGGTTTTATATTTTCTACAAGTGTTTAAGATTTTTCTAAGGGCATTATGTGTGCCTTCTAAAATGGGGATCTAGGCAAATGTTCACTATGGTTTCAAAATAGCAATAAATATCCTAGATTCTTGGACCAGTCATTTAAACTGGGGTAATGGAAGTTAGTAAAAAATATTACATAATTTAGGTGATATTCAAAGATAAGTGCAGCTTATTGCAGCTTATGTGGCACTGATCCTAGATAGGCTGACTCAGTTTTACAGTAAGTGTATAAAAACAACCGAAATAAAAAAAATCAGCATTTTACCATAAAACTGTTTCCTTTATTCTTAACTAACAAATCTAAAACTCACTTAGTCAAATTTAAGTGCATAGTTTATTTTTGACAACCACATGTGAACTCAAACTCATACTGTTTTACTTATAAAGATGACAAAAAATCTGAAACAAGAAAATGTGAGTTTACAGGATTATTAGGAGGTTTTTAAAAAGCTAATTTGTTCTTTTGGGGGAAAAAAAGAAGGTGGAGATAATTTGAGACCATCTGAGACAACTAAAACTTCTCTTCCTACACATCAGGATGCTCTGTAATATAAGGCTTCAGGCTACACATGACTTTCAGCCACTTTCTAAAGCTCATGTGAGCGAAAAACAGGCATCTAGTCTCACCCTGACTGGTGGTTGGGACACTGGGTGTGCTGGAAGCATGCGTGGGTGCTTCTCTCCACGCTCGCTCAAGGCTGTTGTGCTGTTTTGCGAGCTGTTCGATCGTCTCCTCTAGGTGTGTACGCTGCTCTCGCTCATACTGTAGCGCCCGATGCAATCTCCTGCTGTGAGTCTCAGCTAGGTCCAAAAAGTCTCGACATGCCTTAGGAAAAAAATGAACACAAATAATTATTTCTCCTGCAAACACTATGGTCACATGGCTATGATATATAACCAAAACCTCTGATGTGAACACATCCTTAGTGTGCAGGATACAGATTGAGGGTTAAAAGCAACAAAAAATAAATATCTGAAATATAAAACTGACCTTTAAACCTCAATAAACCAGTCAGAATGGAAAGTGAAACAACCTTGCAGACACTCACTGAAACCTCAGCTCCTTATCAACACTGGGTGGGACAGTTATCAATGATTAGATGTAGACAGGCCACTTACAGACTCTCCTCGCTGTGTTTAATGTACCTCTTCACAAACAGCATGCTAATGAGGAGCAGTTAAAGCCTTTCACTACAAATCAGAGTCCCTTGTCTTGATTAAGTGAGCCAAAAGAGGGCATTGTTGCTGCTCTGATTTCACTTCTGAGAAAGGGTTACTTCAGATCAGATATTTATTACATGTCAGCAATTGTTGGCTCACCACCGTGTTGAGTTTTTAGCAGCCTTCCTCATATTAATCTAAAAGGTCATTGAACCTGAATAAAATATCTCCTTCGACCTCATACCATGACGCATATCACGTGATGGTCACTGAGGTTTCCAATTAGGACAGAGGTGTGAAATAACATCTAAAACTGCTGCCTTGCATTATACCTCTGCCTTTATGTGCTGAATGGTAAAACTTGTCTACTAGGGTGAATGACAAATCACATGGTTGCATTTGGCTTATGGTCAAAACCAGAAACATTTTATTTTCATTGCAGAACCTGAGAAATCGTTAGAGTTTAAGCTTAACCGCATGGATAAATGAGTACCTGCAACAATAAAAAAATGAAAGAAACATAGCGATGCCTAAAACATTAAGGATTTGGAAAAAAGTGGAACTGTATGCTAACAAATGCAGGAATCAGCATATATATGCTTTTTATTTTAATCTTATAGTGAAACTTTTGAATCAACTTGGTATAAAAGAACAGGTCTGAAATACATTTGTAATCTGTCTAGTTATGTTGTAATTTAGTGTAAGCAAAAACAAAACAGAAAAACTTTAAAGCAAAAAAAGGCTATACATAAAATCAAAGTTAGTCGTTAACACTACATTACAGTAAGTATACAGTAAAACAATTTTCTCTATATTTGATTTTAATGTTTAGTTTACTGATGCATGATTATACCCTCGCTACATTAACACTTCAATTTTGAATTAAGACTGTAATGATGTAGCCTTTGAATATATAAGGCTCTGATATTGTTGCTTAAATTTGTAAAAAAAAAAAAAAAAAATACTAAATAAGAGTAATTTGATATATTCAGTTAAAACCAAGACAGATATATAAGTTTTGTGGTGTTGTTAGGGAAATAATGAGTCTCTTACCTCCAGCAGTCACGAATCCCCTGCTTAAAGAGTCGAGTTTCACTATAAGTGTCCGAACTATGTGACGTCTAAATCCACTTCCTCAAACCAAACCATAATATGAAACTTGAATCACACTTTAAGACGTGTGAGAGTTCCACTTTTTACTGCTGACTCCACGGCACGATCACAGACTGCATGTGACTTGTGGTGCGTTGAAGAATAGAGGCTCAGCAGGGCATAACAGTATAAGGGAAATAATTAAAAGTTACCAATAATAATAATAAAAAGTGTCAGAACTAATGTCCCATTTAAATCTAATCAAATTATTTGGCAAAGAAAGAACTGAAACTGTTCTGTTAAATTGATCAAACATCTTTCTTTTGAACATAGAGCACCCAAAGATTAGTTTTGTTTTGCACTGAAACCATATAAGTAGATGGAACGTGCATAAAACAAACTAAGTTAACCTTTCACGTTATAAACTAAGGTAACCCCAAACAGGCATGTGCTGACATCCATACAATGTACCAAGTGGACAATCTGTCACTAGAGCCACACATGGCACATATGAGAAGTTAGGTCAAGGTTGAATGAACTAAATTAAAACCTCCCCCAGCTGGAGAGAAACTGAAGATGGTACGTTGTTAGTTTGAAAAAAACAAAACAAAAAGCAGTTACTAACTGAACAAGAGGACTATCTTTATGATTGATTCATTTTTCTTTTCTAATAAAAATTCAAGCCTGGTTATACAGTAATTGTATAACACTGCTCTCCCATTTTACTTCAACTATCACTTAAAATAACCACTGTATGATAAGACATACAGTATATGTATATGTAAATACAATAATCAAACCCAGCAAAGACAGTGAGACACTTGGAGCAGTGACAATACAAGAGCAGGAGCCAGTTAACAGCAATTCAGTCAGTTTGTATCGCTTTATTTTTTATTAACACACCCATATCAGTTTAATTTATACTAGATTTTCTGCGTGATGTTTACTGAAGATTTAACATTAATTTTCAAAAATGTACCTGATTTAATATTTGTCCATAAAACCATCTTTTGTTTCCATTTAATATTCTTAAAAGATAAAAAAGGTGATATCCGCAACAAATCACTGTATTGGAAGCATGTAATCTAATGGTTTGAATCTCCAATCTATCATGGCTCAACTATTATCTTGTCATAACTTATGTGCACATTTCTTGAAAGAAGCACTTTAGAACATAATACTCTGCTAGTTGCTATTTTCTGCTTCTCCAATCAGAATGTCCTTGGGATCAAAGGAGCTGTTCTATACGGACATTCTGTGTTTAACACACGAATCAATTAATTGACTTAACACACAGCTCACCAACAATTTGAGGGTGTGTGTGTGTGTG